TGAATGAATACTGCTAAGAACATTCACCTGTAAGTTTTTGTGTTAACATGTTCTCAATTTTCCTGGGTTTATATCTACAAGTGGAATTGCTGGGTCATAGGGTAACTCAACATTTAACTTTTTGAAGAAGTGCCAAACTGTTTTCCAAAGCAGCCATACCATTTTACATTTGGTAATGGGTTGAATTTTAAGATTAGGATATAAAATGAGGACAAAAGGGACAGAGATGACAGACATTATGGATAAGTCTTGTTTCTTTTCCATTTTCTCTAAGTATTTCTTTGCTTTTCACAGTCCCTCTCTATTGATCCTTTCTCTTTCAATCCATAGTATATAACCCCAATAAATATGCTATTGCTGTATTCTTTCAAAACATTTTTTAATTTAAAAAAACAGTGGATATATTTTCTTTCTCTCAGAAAACAATAAACGTAGTTGTAATTTATATAACTTCAAGCTAACTTTTAAAAAGTTTTTATTATGAAAAATTTTAAGCATCACTTAGCTTCAACAATGTGGGATAATGCCTGCCCTTAGCCTCTGTCAGAAACTCACATAATTTATCCCTGGAAGAAAACGATGTCATCCTGGCCCACAAAATATCTCCACAATGTTTCATATATAATATCTACTATGTATTAAAATAAACTAGGGATTCATGGAGACAAACCCACATGACCAAAATCCAACAGATACAGCAGACATTTGAAACATATTAATAGAGTTATCAGACACAGATTTTAAAATTACTATGCTTAATATATTCAATTAAATAAAACACAAAATTGAGAGTTTTGACAGAGAACTAGAAACTATAAGATGAACCAAATAGAAATTCTAGAACTAAAAACCAAAAACACACTAAATTAAGAACTCAATGGTTGAGTCTAACAACAGATTAGATTGGCAGAAGATAGAAATAGTGAAAGGTAATATAGGCCAAAAGAAAATATCCAGAAGGAAGTACAGAGAGGCAAAAAGATGGAAAATAGAGAAAAGTGTCTAAGAAACACAGAGTGACCATATGTTTTTGGGATACTTTTGAGAGTGAATGGGCATTATTTAAAGTTTTTTGGAGTTTTTTTGGTGAAGAAGATTGGCCCTGAGCTAACATGTGTGCCAATCTTCCTCTATTTTGTATGTGGGACACCACCACAGCATGGATTGACTATCAGTATGTAGGCCCATGCCTGGGATCCGAACCCATGAACCCCAGGCCGCCAAAGCAGAGTGTGCAAACTTAACCACTATGCCACTGTGCTAGCCCCTCAAGTATTTAATCACACTGTAGCAAGAGGTAGAAAATGAGACATGAGGTTACCTGAGACATTGAGGACACACGGAAAGGCCTAACATATGTGTAATTGGAGTCCCAGAGGGAGAGGAGAAAGAATAGGGGGGAAGCAAAATTAGGAAACGCATAGCTGAGAATTTTCGTATGAAGGGGTAAAGAAAAATAAAATGGATAAGTATGGTCTGGCCAGATTACTAGGGAGTCAAGAAAGTGAGCAAAAGAGACTCTAGTAGTAGCTTAGCAGAGAGTCAATGCAGATTATTCTGTAGGTAAAGATTTAGGGACATTAATCTGAATATAGAGAGGGGGAGATGAAGCAAAGGGACTAGAAACAGACCAGAGAGCAGCTATTTCAGTAATCCAGAAGGGAGTTGGTGATAACACCGAATTAAGGCAACACACTCAAAAAAGGAAACAAAGGGCAAATAATTTCAAAGAAACAACTGAATAATTTGGCAAGAGATTATATAAAAATGACTTCAGATGATATCTCTAGCCCTTAAAACTCAGAAAAGTTAGCATCAATTACTAAAAAAATAATTTCTATGTTCTCCAATTTTTAACATAGAATTGTTTAATGTTTTGGATTCAGGCTTAAAACCCCAATATGGAAAATCAGGAACAGTTAACAAGAAAAAAATAGTTAAGTACAAGTTGAAGTGCAAATAGGATAAAAGAGTAATTTCTCCACTTTCTAGGCATCAGAGTTATTGTTAAATTATAGAGATCCTTTTTTCGATTTAGAAAATTCTTTGTAGACAATGAGAAACAGAACAGAAAAGCTGAAATTTTTCTGTTGACCAGACAATTGAAATAGTCTTCCTACCTAAAAGAGTTACTAAGAAAGTTTGAAAATAAAGAAATAAGCAGAGGTATACTCAGTTTAAAAAAAAAAAAAGAGGAAGAGGAAAGAAAGAAAAAGAAAGCAGATGTGGCAATATTTATAACAGAATTCCAGGCCAAAAGTGATGAAATGGGATTAAAAGAGACACTGAATAATGATAAAATAATCTCTGAAAATATAATAGCCATAAACCTTTATACATAAGCCATATAGCAATGAAGCAAAAATTCCTAGAGATACTAGGAGAGCTTCATAAGATCAAAATTTATCTGAAGATTCAACATACCTCTTTCACAGCTCAATTTGATATAAGCAAAAATATAGAGGATCTGAATAATATAACCAAGCCTAATATATATGTAGAAGTATATGACGCAAGTCACTCAATCTTTCTGTACCTCAGATCCTTTCTTATAAAATGGCAAAAATTATACCTACCTCACAGTGTTGGGGTGAGGATTAAATGAGACAGTTTCTGTAAAGGGTACTTGCCACATAGGAGATCCTCAATAAAGCTCTTATTTATCTACCTCTATCTTTCACATTCTCCTTAGGGTCAAGGGACACTATAAATTGATCACGGTCTTGACGGTAAGAAAAAATGTCCAAGATGTTACTGCCCACAATCCAGTAAACTAGAAACATACAATAAAAAGTTAACCATGTATATATTAAGAAGCTTTTTGTAATAAACATTGAAATAAAAACCAAAGTTACAAACTCTCCAGAAATTAACAAAATGAAGACTATTTTACATCAAAACAAATAAGACACAGCAAAAGGAGAATTCAGAGGAAAACGTACAGCCTTAAATGCTTTAATAATTAAAAAAGACAAGTTCTCTACTTAAGAAACAAGAAAGTAAAATAAATCAAAAGAAAATAGGAGGTTAGAATAAAGACAAAAGCCCTGCTTAATTAACTAGGAACAATTTAAAAACCAGTCCAAAGAATAAATAAGGCCAACATCCGATTTCTTGAAAATTCCAACAGAAATACCTTAAGGGTTTAGTAAAAACACCCTTAAGCTTATATTTTAAATAGGACATCTACATCTCAACAAGAATTTCTCAACATTATCTTTCTCCTACTGACCTAGTAGCTGTGGGCAATATGGAAAGAAGTGGAGGAAAAAAAATAAACTTTAAGACTGCAAATAATACAAAATGACTTTTAACTCTGTATTTCTTTCACATCTGTATGAATCAAAAGTCAAAAATGAAAGCAGCATTTTCCAAAATAACAACACTAAGTTATTACTTCTATAAACTCTTTATTTACTTTTATTTTTACTAGGAAGATACTATTGACCAACAGTCAACTGTGCGTGTTAATTGAGTTATTCTTCTAAGTGGGATTCACAATCTTATCCCTTCTTTTGTAACCAAGGCCATATGCGGGATACCACTGGGATAAGACAAATTTCCTGTGCCACCGAGACTGGAATTTAGAGAATTTTCCTAATAAACTGGCCCACGTTTACTCTACAGTTAAAATCAACTATTTAAAATGAGCTTAAAATCTCTTTAAGGATTTAAAATCTTTTTAAGATCTAAAACCCAAACTTTAAGAAAAGTTCCTTGATTCCCCTGGACAGAAAGGACTAGATAGCCTCCTTTGCATTCTTTCTGGCTACACTGCCTTTATCCTATCAGGGACTTCTTGCAGTTTTTATTGGTCTCAGCACTTTGACTAGAGGAAGCAAGGAACAACACAATCCCGTGCACCATTTCCTCTATTAAATCCATGCATGTAAAAATGGTGCCTTATGGATATTCATCTTACTGAGCTCAATACTCCAAGCTGGAAGTGATTTCCAAATCATCCACACACAAAGTTTAGGCAAGCTTTGTTCAAGAATAAACTTTTAGTAAAGTGTACATATTATAAGACTCTCAGGTCACATGAGCCAAAAAAGTCTTAAGCAATATGGTAGCTCAAACATTATCTGAATAGCCTGCATTTCGTAATCAGTGAATCTATATACGTACTTTTCTTCCATTAAAAAATAAAAATAAAAAAACAAGTTGAATAATAATGGGTCATAACAGTGAGAAATGTTTTAGTTGCACTCTTCATTCTTCATAATCTAAGCAGCACTTCAACCACAGTGTTATGAATGTAATTATTCATCTTTCCTATAATAAAGTAAAAAGTGTTTAAAAAATATGGTAGGACTCAACTGTCTCCAGCTGATTCTTAATCCTCAAATAAAACAATTTAATTTGGAGTGTTTAGTAGCTGAAAATCTGTAGTTCTGCTTCAATTTTACTATCTACTCTTGAGGGAAAAAAATATAAATATACAATAAGAACCGTTTAGGTGTAAGTACAGTAATGGAAAATCCAGTGGTCTGCAGTTTTTACGAAATGTAAATCTCGAAAGTTGCCATAGCCTTCTTAACTTTATACCCAAAGGGGTACAATTTTCAAATAATGCAGGAATTAACTACAGGCATCTTACTATACAGATCAGTATATATGACACTTGCTTCAGCACTTACTCATCATACGCTGTGTAATAAAAATACTAACTCAAGATTCCATTCCACAAGCATTTATGATTTCTGCTGAGCTGAAAAATGGAGCCAAAAACAAAAAAACTTATCTAGTTGGAGCCACATATCCACACGTGAAAAGGCCTAACACTCATAAAACAATACACAAAAACCTGGAAGTTAATTTTTTGAGTCTGACCTCTTTCTCTGTCTTTCTCTCTGGCTGTGGGATGGCCAGAAGAGAAAAACATGCTAAAAGTGAAAATGCTAGGCCGAACTGACCAGGCAAACTGGGAACTAACTGACTGGGAAAGCGAAAACTGAGCTGACTTAGCGATGAACCCAAGAAGGAGCTTAGCCACTTACCGAGAGATTTATTGAATGAGAATGGATCGCAGGTTCCCACGGGTCGTTCCACTGCCAGTAAGAAGAGAGTCGTGAACCTTGTGTCCCTTTTGTCACTAGTCAACAGTCACCCTCACCTACGCGGAGTACATATTTGGCACTCAACAAATCTTGATTGAATGAAAACCTACCTCACTCGTATTGTTACCCAACCCCGGAGTTATGGCCCCCCAAATTACCTCCCAAAAGCCTTACGGCTTAACCCAAAGAGCTAAGAAAATAGACACGAAAGCTCTGGGGACCTTTGTAAAGACTAGGAACAATCAAGGGCCAATGGGGCCTACAACCAACCCGACCTCCCCCAAGAAAGCTCAGGGGGCCCGACTGTGGCTGACCCACTTCGGCTTCACAAGGAGGTCCCGACAGGCCGCAGATCCATAGCCTCCCACCCGGGGGCGCTGAGAGATCTGGGGGTATCCCCCCAAAAAGTGAGTACCTGCGAAGCTGCGACACAGAGAGTGTCTCGGAGCTCTCATTACGGAGGCCGGGGCCTGGGGCCGGCCAACTGCGCCTCCTGGCCGAGGGCTCCGCGCTCCGGAGCTGCAGTGACAGCACGGGTCACAGAGAGATAACCTCACGCCTCGGCAGGCTCGTGGCTCGCAGGCCCCGGGTGTTTCGCTTCCAGGACTGCGCGAGTTGTCGCACTCACGTCGACCGGCGCTCTTCCAGGCTCCCGTCACAGCTCAAGCGGTCACTCCTGCCTTAAGCCCAGCAGCCACTCGCTTCCCGGCGCCGCCATCGTTAGTGTTTGTTTTCATCCGCTCGGTGAAGGCGGAGGGCGAGGGACAGGGCCATGGGGGAAATACAGCTGCCTAACCTCAGCCGCACTTTCGCTACAACATGGACGCCGTATTTACTCTCCTTTATCTTCGAAATTCCCATCAAAGTTGACTTCCTTTCCATATGACTCTTTTTCACTGATTTTTTCAAGGGCCTAGGAAGAAAATAAAGGCTTACACAGGGGTCTTTTTGAAAGAGCGATCACATTTGGGCCGCATGTGGAATGTGCGCCGGCGAACCGCAGGTCGCGGCTGCAGCGGCCGTGAGGACGCGGCGTGGGACGGGCGCTGACGCGGAGGGGGCGGTGCCTGCGCTGACGCCGTGGCCGCTGGGGAGCCGCGCCGGTTCCGGAGGAGGGCCCACCCGGCTGGGAGGGCGGGGAGGGCGGCTGGTAACCTGGCAGCCGCCGAGAGGTGGGTGACGGGCCTTGCCTGACTTTGAGTGGCCGTTGCAGTCAGACTTCCGTATGCGTTTCTCAGGTGCCTTTTAAAAGCGGCGGAGTGGCTTCCCAACCCTTGCTCTCCCAGCCTCTTCTTTCGCGCCTTCCTTCGAACCTGTCTAGTCTTTCTTACTTCCTAGCCCTCAGCCTCACGATTTGGATTTCTTGGGAGTAGAGGAAAGCTTGTTGTTAGAACACACAATCTGCGTCCACCAGGCTGGGTTGCGGGCATTTTTTTGCCCCCTTCTCCCTTGCTAGACTGGTTTGAGCACCCCGCACATCCATCCGGTACTTGTGGAGCCAGAGGGCTGTGGATAATGAAACCCGCCGTGACTAATCCCTGCCCCGGCTAGTTATGACTTATGTCAGCTGCTTCGTGGCCTGTATAGTTAGGAGCAGACCTCTTTTCCCTTGTGGATAATTGTGCCGTGACCTCCATTAATCTTTTGCTCTTCCCAGTTCAAATGCCAGGCGTTAAATGAGCCACTGAAATTCAGCTCCCATTATCCTTTAAACCAAAGCAAGGCTGTCATGCAGCCATGAGTTGGTGGAGAAAGACCCAAAGTTACAGGTATTGCAGCTCTTGCTTGCACAAAATGAAAATTTGAGAAAAGGAGTTGGGGTAGCCTTTGAATCCCTTTAAAGTCTTTGGTAGGTTTCTAATTTTTTTTCTTTTAACCTTTACAGAGAGAAGATTATAAATGCCAGAGCCATTTAACTGATGGTTAGCTGTTGAATTCTGACACTTCCTTAAATATCTTCTTGCACGAACATCTTCGCTGGGAAGGGTTCAGGAAAAGTAGCAGAGGAAAGGAGAGACAGCATTTGCGTGTACCATGGCTATACCGATAACAGTGCTTGACTGTGATCTCTTGCTGTATGGCCGAGGTCACCGGACATTAGACCGCTTTAAGCTGGATGATGTGACAGATGAATACTTGATGTCCATGTATGGGTTTCCTCGACAGTTCATTTATTACTTGGTGGAGCTCCTGGGGACAAGTCTTTCCAGACCTACTCAGAGATCCAGGGCTATTAGCCCAGAGACACAGATCCTTGCAGCCCTGGGCTTCTATACCTCAGGTTCCTTCCAGACTCGAATGGGAGATGCTATTGGTATCAGCCAGGCATCGATGAGTCGATGTGTTGCCAATGTCACCGAAGCACTTGTGGAAAGAGCCTCACAGTTCATTCACTTTCCAGCTGATGAGTCCTCCATGCAGGCTCTGAAGGATGAGTTCTATGAGTTAGCAGGGATGCCAGGGGTAATAGGGGTGGTTGACTGTATCCATGTGGCAATCAAGGCGCCAAATGCTGAAGACCTCTCCTATGTGAACCGCAAAGGTCTGCATTCTTTAAATTGCCTGATGGTGTGTGACATCAGAGGGGCTCTAATGACTGTGGAGACAAACTGGCCGGGCAGCCTCCAGGACTATGCTGTGCTGCAGCAGTCTTCTCTCAGCAGTCAGTTTGAAGCTGGAATGCACAAAGATAGCTGGCTGCTTGGTAAGTTGGCAGAGGTAAATGCTTCATTTTATAGCCATAGGAAAATTATGTAGCACAGTAGAATGCAACATGGGAGTCTATAGACCTGAGTCTCAGTTCTGTCCTTTTTTTAATGAGCCCTGAGCTGAGAACTCTCTGAGCCTTAATTTTTTTTTAAAGGTTTTTTTTTTATTTATTTTTTTTATTTTTTCCTTTTTCTCCCCAAAGTCCCCCGGCCACATGGTTGTATATCCTTAGTTGTGGGTCCTTCTAGTTGTGGCATGTGGGACGCTGCCTCAGTGTGGTTTGATGAGCAGTGCCATGTCCGCGCCCAGGATTCGAACTGACGAAACACTGGGCCGCCTGCAGCGGAGCGCGGGAACGTAACCACTCGGCCACGGGGCCAGCCCCCTTAATTTTTTTTTTTTTTTTGAGGAAGATTAGCCCTGAGCTAACATCTACCACCAATCCTCCTCTTTTTTGCTGAGGAAGACTGGCCCTGAGCTAACATCCATGCCCATCTTTCTCTACTTCATATGTGGGATGCCTACCACAGCATGGCCTGCCAAGCAGTGCATAGGTCCGCACCCAGCATCTGAACCAGCGAACCCCAGGCCGCCGAAGTGGAACGTGCCAACTTAACCACTGCACCACTGGGCTGGCCCTGAGCCTTAATTTTTTTTAATCAACATTTAAAGACATTTATTAGAACTTAAAAACATATTATTTGACCCAGGCCTTCCACTTCTAAGAATTTATCTTGGAGGTACATGTTCATAAATATGAACATTGGTGATGGAAAACAAAATTGCATACAAGAATTTGTATTGCAGTGGTGTTTTATAGTTGCAAACAACAACCCTACAGAAACATTCCCTTTAAATACAGTTGAAATACTTACTGGTAGAGATCTGGTTAAATATAGGACATCCATACAACTGAGCTTTAATTTTTATCATCTGTAAAATGGTGAAAATAATACCAACAGCAGTAATACCTATTGTTAAGATTAAGTAATATATATCAAAGTTCACTATAAAGTATTGTACAAGTATGAGATAGGATTTTTGCCATTGGTGATTGTCACTATGATGTCTCTATGAAAATGATAGGAGACAGTGCACTTACACAGTTCTTGTAGGAACTCAGTTACGGATCTGCCCAAGTGCCATCGCAAAGCCTGGCTTAGTGATATGAGTAGGACAAGAATCCATTCAATATGGGATAGTGCAAAGTGGGCTGACTGTACAGCTGTGAGGAATACAGTTACTTAACAGTCATAAAACCCTTGAGCCTGACAGCGTAGGGGGTTTTTTGTTTGTTTTTCTTAAAGTACTGCTCTTAAGTGAGCAATAGGATAAGGGTTATCTTGTATACAACAACATATTATTATTATTTTTTGGGGGTGGGGGAAGATTAGCCCTGAGCTAACGTCTGCTGCCAATCCTCCTCTTTTTTGCTGAGGAAGACTGGCCCTGAGCTAACATCTGTGCCCACCTTCCTCTACTTTATATGTGGGATGCCTACCACAGCATGGCGTGCCAAGCGGTGCCGTGTCCGCACCCGGAATCTGAACTGGTGAACCTCAGACCGCCAAAGCGGAATGTGTGAACTTAACCGCTGTACCACTGGGCCGGCCCCACAGCATATTACTATTATTTTTTTAAAGATTGGCCCTGAGCTAACATCTGTTGCCAATCTTCCTCTTTTTTTTTTTCTTCTCCCCAAAACCTCCCAGTACCTAGTTGTACATTCTAGTTATAGGTCCTGCCAGTTCTGCTACACGGGACGCTGCCTCAGCATGGCTTGATGAGCGGTGCGAGGTCCACACCCAGGAGCTGAAGCAGTGAAACCCTGGGCTGCCAAAGCGGAGCGCATGAACTTGACCACTCAGCCACCAGGCCGGCCCCTACAACATATTATTGAGAGATGAAAAGATGCATTAAAGATTGGAAGACCTCTCTTTCAAAACCACTAATCATATCTGCACTGCACATGCACATAACACAACACAGCGTTTAACATGTAATAGACACTCGGGAGTTATTTCTCTTTAATTTCTCCCTCTTCTCCCCAAAGCTCCCCAGTATACAGTTGTACATTTTAGTTATGGGTCCTTCTAGCTGTGCTATGTGGGACGCCGCCTCAGCATGGTTTGATGAGCGGTTCTAGGTCCGCACCGGGATCTGAACCCCTGAACCCCGGACCGCTGAAGCAGAGCACGCTGAACTTAACCACTATGCCACAGGGCTAGCCCTCAAATATTGCTTTTGTTAGCACTTTAAGGTCATTTAGGAATTAATTGATTTTCTTTTCCTTCCTTGGGACCCCAGATTCAGTTGGAATGATAGCTTTAAAGTAGTTTTTTTAGTTGTTTACAGGACATAGTTGAAAAGTGAAAGCTGTGACCAATTTTTATATACATCTCTGATTCCTCTCTTTACAAGAAGAGTGGAAGTAGGAGAAATGGATATTGTAACAACATTTAACAAATGTTTATTAGGGCCAGTTTTGGTACCAGGGCACATGCTAGGCACTAAGGATGTTGGGAAAGCATACACATGTGAAATAGATTACCTTAGTGCTATCAGTTCTCGGATCCTGGGCGCAGACCTAGCACTGCTCATCAGGCCATGCTGAGGTGGTGTCCCATATGCCACAACTAGAAGGACCCACAATAAAACATGCAGCTATGTACTGGGGGGCTTTGGGGAGAAGAAGGAAAAAGAAGAAAGAAAAAAAAAAACTTCTGGAATGAGAATCTTCAAGGAAAGAATCTAGACATGCATTTTTAACAGGTGCCCTAAATGATTTGGACAAATAGTTAAGTTTGGAAAACACTGGTCTCTGGAGGATGTGTGGACAGTGGGGTAATGCAGGAGAAGATTAGCAGGATTGTGAGGAATGACAAGATGTTAAAAAAAAAGAGAGAGCCAGCCGTGATGGCCTAGTGGTTAATCTTCAGTATGCTCCGCTTCAGTGGCCCAGGTTCCGTTCCTGGGCCCTGAACCACACCACTCGTGTGTCAGTAGCCATGCTGTGGCAGCAGCTCACATAGAAGAACTAGAAGAACTTACAACTATGTAGTGGGGCTTTGGTGGGGAAGGGAAGAAAAAAGGGGGAAGATTGGCAACAGATGTTAGCATAGGGTGAATCTTCCCCTCCAAAAAGTGAAAAAGAGATAAGGGGCCAGCCCTGTGGCTGAGTGATTGAGTTCATGTGCTTCCCTTTGACAGCCTGGGGTTCACCAGTTCAGATCCTGGGTGTGGACCTAGCACCACTCATCAAGCCATGCTGTGGCAGCATCCCACATAGAAGAACTAGAGTGACCTACAACTAGGATATGCAACTATGTGCTGGGGCTTCAGGGAGAAAGAAAAGAAAAAAAAGGAAGATTGGCAACAGATGTTAGCTCCGGGCCAATCTTCCTCACCAAAAAAAAAAGAGAGAGAGAGATAAGATGGCTGATGTCTTCACACTGTCAGATTTGTGGAATATTTCTAGATTTGCCAAATCTAGAATTAGCTGTGATTCCCCTTTGGGTTTTTTTAGCATATTTTCGCCATGGGTGTCATCCCTTCGTGTCCTCATTCTCATCTGTCCCTTCAGAGTGTATTACCTAATTCTTCTTCTCTAAATGTACCTCTTCCTGCAAACAATTCAGCCTGAGTCCTTACTTCTTCAGCTCCTGGCCTAGTCCTGTTAAGCAGCTTTGGGTAAGATCTGCCAGAATGTCTTATGGATGACTGATCATGTAAGCAATTGTAATCTGTTTAGCAATTCTGATCCTAATCCCCTCCCATGTGTCTGTCTGCCAGTGGTGCTTGGATTATGACCAGTTAATGACGATGGAGCATTTTATAAAAGGTCTACTTTAATTAGCTTGTCCTGTAGGTTTCCCCGTTTAAGGCCCATACTGTTTCTTAGAGAAATGTTTAACAGATATCATTTAGTAACTCCATGCCATGGCATTCATCTTAAATGTTTGTATTATTCTCTTTTACAGCATTACACCATTGTTTTGGCAACTCTGAGTCTGCCATTAGCATTTAGTGACTAGCTCCTTCTTCCTTTGCCTGACATATCAAAGGATGGCTGACATCTCTTTGATCTTCTCATTTGTAAAATGAGTTCAATAATATCTAACCCAGCAGAGTTGGGATGGGATAATAAGAGAGAATTTGTGTGTGTGCATGTGAGGAAGATTTGCCCTGAGCTAACATCTGTGCCAGTCTTCCTCTACTTTGTATGTGGGATGCCTCCACAGCATGGCTGATGAGTGGAGTAGGTCCTCGCCCGGGATCTGAACCTGTGAACCCAGGCCACTGAAGTGGAGCACATGGAACTTTAACCACTCAGCCACAGGGCCAGCCCCAAGAGTTAATATTTTTAAAGTGCCCAGCATGGTGCCTCCTACATGGTAGATATTCAGTGAGTCATAGATATTATTTTCATTATTATTTACAACATCAAGTTTCTTAAATTTAATATTTAGTAGGGATGAGTTCAATTAAAATAGGTTGTACTTGGGGGTGGTGGGGCAGGGAAGTCAGCTGAATATAAAATTTGCAAACTTTGTGAGGCTTGTTAGATACTTAAAGTTAATCCAGAGCCAGCCCTGATGGCCTAGTGGTTAAAGTTCGGTGCTCTCACTGCTTCAGTGGCCCAGGTTCGTTTCGTGGTCGCAGAACCACACCACCTGTTTCTCAGTTGCCATGCTGTGGGGGTGGCTCACATAGAACTCAAAGGACTTACAACTAGGATATACAACCACGCACTGGGGCTTTGGGGAGGGAAAAAAAAAAAAGGGAGGAAGATTGGCAACAGATGTTAGCTCAGGGCAAATCTCTCCCTACAAAAAAAAAAACAAAAGTGGGGCCAGCCCAGTGGCTCAGTGGTTAAATGTGCACATTCCGCTTTGGCGGCCTGGGGTTTGCCGGTTTGGATCCCAGGTGCGGACATGGAACTGCTTAGCAAGCCATGCTGTGGTAGGTGTCCCACACATAAAGTAGAGGAAGATGGGCATGGATGTGAGCTCAGGGCCGGTCTTCCTCCTCTTTTTGCTGAGGTCCATGCTAGCTCAGGGCCAGTCTTCCTCAGCAAAAAGAGGAGGATTGGCAGAAGATGTTAGCTCAGGGCTGATCTTCCTCAAAAAAAAAAAAGTTAATCCAGTACATCTAAAACTGATACAGTGTTATATGTCAACTACATCTCAGTAAAATAACTTTGTAATTAAAGTTAATCCAGCTCTTAGAAATGTAACCCTCTAAAACAAAGGAGTCCTATATGTTTTGGAACGATGTCTAGCACTCTTTGAACAGACCATAGCTATTTACCAAAATTGATGGTAGGTCAGGAACACAGCGAGTGTGCAACTTGGTACTCCTAGGGCCTGTCTGTATTTCTAGGCAGTTGTGCCTCTGTGTGAGACAGTTCATCTGCCAGATGTAGTGTCAGGACAATTAAACCTTATAGAAACATTATACTGTTGTAATAGGACATTGCGCCCCAGTTTTTGTTTTGTTTTTAGCACTCCCCAGGATCATTTGATAAGGAAGTCGCCTGAGGGAAATGCCTCGTGTATATTATTTTAATTGACTTCTGATTTTATTTCCTTATCACTGACGATTACTGTTTGCATCCTTATATTTATGCTGTCCTTGTTAATGTGGAATTCTAACAGTTCCTTTATTACAAAGGCGTTGTTCTAGTGTATATAACATCTAGTGGGGCAGAACACCTGAGTTCTGATCTCTGCCACAGATGCTGAGACTTTTATTTTTCTTATTACTGGGAGAATAAATGATTATTGTCCGTGAAATACTCTGAAATCCCTAGGTAGTGCTTTCAGACCTGACATTTTAATGGTAAAGTTAGACATTTTCCTCCAAAGTGTTTGAGATCTCCTAGCAGAATCCTCTTTTATCTCTCTTGCACTCTTGCTCTTTAGAGATTTTGAAGGTTGGCTTGCTGTGTGATAGTTTTTACTAATCTTTTGTGAGAGAACAATATCTGAATTCAGAAAATCCAGAAGTTTTATTTCCTCCAGCGCCTTTACCTCCTTCCTAGGAACATTCTTTCAGACTTGACTTTCTTTAGCTATGAGCCGTTTTTGTCTGTTGGTTTTAACCAAGGATATTCCCAGCCAAGACTCATGTCTTCCTGCTCATGACACTGGCATGCCTTCTCTACCACAGCATTTCCCTCTTGGTTTTTCTGGTACGCTTTGGCTCTGGAAGCTGTTGTGTTTTCTTGTCTGTTCCCAGTACATGTTCCTGGATTTTCCTTTCATTTGTATCCCAGTTATAATGATTTATGATTTCTTTGGGCCTTCCCCACAGGTGACAGTTCCTTCTTTCTCCGCACCTGGCTCATGACCCCACTGCACATTCCTGAAACTCCAGCCGAATATCGCTATAATATGGCCCATTCTGCAACTCACAGCGTGATTGAGAAGACCTTCCGAACCCTCTGCTCCCGATTCCGCTGCCTGGATGGATCCAAGGGGGCTCTGCAGTACTCACCGGAGAAGTCCAGCCACATCATCTTGGCCTGTTGTGTCCTCCATAACATCTCCTTGGAGCATGGGATGGATGTTTGGTCCTCTCCAGTGACAGGACCCATGGAACAGCCCCCTGAGGAAGAATATGAGCACATGGAGTCCCTGGACCTAGAGGCTGACCGCATCCGTCAGGAGCTGATGCTCACTCATTTTAGCTAATGTGAAGGAGCGGGAGGGAAACTTTCAGAAGTTTCAGAAGGAGTCGTGACAAACTTTCCCCCTCACCACCCCCCACACAGTTCCACCATCTAGCATGACTTGTCACAAACTGACATTTAATCTGGGTATTTTAGAAGGGTTGAGACCATGCCAGAATATCTTGATTCATTTGCAGAATATCTTGATTCATTTGCAAATTTATTAACTAAACCAAAACCAAGACAAGAATTCCTTACTATCTGTTGGACTGCAGGTTGAGCACCACTCATTTGAAAGCTCACTGGTTGCAGACATTTATGGTTGTCCTACGAAATCAAAGCAAAGGGGGAAATGGCATCTAGTCAGAAGACTTCTTTTGGTTTCAATTATCTAGAGATTTCAAATGAAAATTATATTGTTTGTCCTGAATTATTTGGATAGTATTTTAGCTTTTCTACTGTGCTGCCTATATAGGCATAATCTGAGGCAAGTGTAAAAAAATTAAAGTTGGGGAATGGTCTTCTGACAAGTAAATGGCTACTAATATGAGTTTGAAGCTTTGTGTTTTAAGACGCTATTCGGGGCAGTCTGAAACCTCCATCTTCAGTCTTTCTGCAATAATTGGACTATGACTTGGGCCTGGTTCTAGGGAGAACATCTGGACTCCAGTCTCCTATTTCCAACCCTGAGTAGGAGTTAGAGGCTAAATGGGTTTAAGAACCGAATCAGGGGCCAGCCCCGTGGCCAAGTGGTTAAGTTCACACACGCCGCTTCAGCGGCCCAGGGTTTCACCTGTTCAGATCCTGGGTGCAAACATGGCTCATCAGACCATGCTGAGGCGGCGTCCCACGTGCCACAACTAGAAGGACCCCCAACTAAAATATACAACTCTGTACTTGGGGGATTGAGGTGAAAAGCAGGAAAAGAAAAGACTTGCAACAGTTGTTAGCTCAGGTGCCAATCTTTTAAAAGAAAAACCCAAAACCCAATCGGCTTAAAGAAGACAAGTCAAATATAAACAAAATAGCAAGCTTACACTTTACAGGAGATCTAAAGACCCTGATAGATTGGTGGACAGAGGCGATTCACCCAGGTTTTGACAGCTGACATCTAAAGAGATCGCATTTCTTATGATCATGATGTTAGAATGTCCGTTTGACCTTTCTGCTTTGAAATTCCTTGCACAGAAGGAAGATTTAGGAAATAAAGAAGGCATGTGAAAGTATTAAAAAGGAGAGGTAAAAGGAATATAATTTCTTGGTTTAAATGAATTCTGGAGTTAGACCTACTTGAATATCTTGTGTGCCAAGTGATGGACAGAATTTCCCAGGGAATAAACAACCCCCCACCAAGTCTTGTTCTAAAATTATACTGATACAAAAATAACCTGATTGGAATAATGAAAGTGTTAATCAGGTTCACACATTGGTGCCTTGCTGGGACAAAAAAGAGACTTTCCTGAGGATTGTCTTGTCCGCAGTCTCTCAGCCACTCACCATGTGATACCTCTGAATTGTCCTGCTGGCTCATTTCCTACCTGCCTCTGGCAATGTTAATCTGGTGATTTTCAAAGTAAAGAAATGAACAGCTGATGACAGAAGAAATTTGGAAATAAATTAGGGATGACTCATCCTCAAGATTAAAAACAATTATGGATTATTATCTGCTGTTTATTTCTACTCCAAATGCTATTTCCCATCAGCATCCTACTCTATAAAAGAGTGGGTTCCTTTTGGCAGGATGTTGAGCTTAATATGTACAATGATGTCATTGAGATAGGAGTGAATGATGAAGAGATGACTGGAAACTAGCTCTATTCATTGTGCAACAGAGGTGTCCTGTTACATTTTTTTTCTTTGTAAAGTTTAACTTGTGACCCAAGTATGCTTTGTCTCCCTCCTAAGACAATCTTTTAACTCTTAACAGTCTTGCCAAGTTTCCTGAGATGGGTATTTTGGTTCTATTATGAGTATTGCATAAGAAAAAGTTTACTGCCACCTATGTATCTTAAGTGGCAAGGTGGAGGGTGATCTTGGAAAGTGCCTAGAATTTTAGCCTTAAAAAACTAAGTTAAAGGAAAATTGGGGGCTGGCCGGGTGGTGCAGCGGTTAAGTGCACACATTCCACTTTGGCGGCCTGGAGTTCACCGGTTCGGATCCCGGGTGCAGACATGGCACCGTTTGGCTCATGCTGTGGCAGGTGTCCCACATATAAAGTAGAGGAAGATGGGCACGGATATTAGCTGAGGGCCAGTCTTCCTCTGCAAAAAGAGCAGATGTTAGCTCAGGGCTACTCTTACTCAAAAAAAAAAAAGGAAAATTGGAGTTTTTACAACTTAACTCACTAGCCGGTGACATGATCCTGAATGGGAGGGACAGTCTTGGAGAGATTTCAAAAGCAATTTCAAGTCTATTACTTGCACACCAAGGATAATTTCTAAGTGCTGATCTGACTGAACATTGGCTGGCAGTGTTTATTTTTCCTAATAATTCCACAGAATAACTGTTCAAATTTATTCCTTTAATCTCCTTTTGACCTGGATTTTTAGAGGCCAGGATTTTTTCAGTCCATACTCAGACTTTTCCCCCAAAATGATCTAGGGGAGGGTTCAAGGTCTATGTTTCCAAATTGCCAAAAAGGTTTGCTTATAGAGGCTTTTTATAAGTACCTGAGAAATCTTCTCTTGAGGTCCTTATGGTGGATTTAATTTATAGTGTCTTCCTAGTACCATTTTGGGAAAGAGTCAAGGATTTGTCTTCACTGTCTTATGTAAGCCTCATCTTCCTGTAGATGACTCCATCTGGCCAGCAGAGGAGTTTTCCAGATTTGCCCTTAGATGTTTCAAGACAGCAAAATCCCAGGATATATTAAGGGAAAGCCATAATATTGGGGCATCAGTGGTTTACCAATTCCAAATTATGCAAAAGAGGGACTATAAACATATCCTTAGTTTAAAATGAACTGAACAGAAATGGAGCGTCCTTCCTGATCCTTGGACTGTAAAGGATCTATAGCAAATTAATCTAATTTAGGGACAAAAAGCAAAACACAATTTCAATGGGGGTCACAGAGTGAAGACATATAAGAGGTGAGGAGGGGTGAAGTAAAAGCTAGACAGATGACATACTGCAATTGTATTCCTCCCTGAAACAATAAACAAGAACAACTCAAGGACCGGGCTCAGCAGTCGCTTTCCCTGGCAATGGAGGGGAAGTTAGGAGGAAGACAAGAAAATAAGAAGTCAAGGTGTCTTAACCATTGTGCATGCACATGTCCTCAGGGCCCATACATAGTGCTCTCAAGATCCCACCCAGATTTTATGAAATCGTGGCTATAAGAGATCAGGGACTCAGAATCAAGCAGGAGTGTGTTGGTTGTAAGCATGGCAATGAAGGAAGGTAGGAGAAAGACTAGCTGGAGGCTGGGGACACCTCAGTTCCCTAACATCAAGTTCACAGGCTTTTTGTTTTCTATGACTATCATCTAAGACCCACTTTGTGACAATCAAATGGGTGAGAGAAAATCTCCAGCTACTAAACAGGAGCAAGAAAAGTAGACCTTGAAATCATAGGTTAGTAAATTTCAGTAAGTCTATTTGAAAGGAATCTCCATGTTTACCCAGCCAAACGTTAAAAGTCTATCATTTTGTTGAGACTTTTCTAACCCTTATGTATACCGCTATCTTTATGGAAGGGCTGATTCCTTTGTCATTTTAGAGTCTTAAAATGTTCATACACTTCAATCCACTGATAAATTCCACCACTGGAAATTTATCCCATATCAATAATTCCAAAGAAGGAAGAGCCGTCCATCATTCTGTCAATGGTTACCTGCTGTTCTGGGATCTCTCCCCTTCCCTGGGCGGCTCCCACATCACAACACTGCTTCTACCTTTCCCATCCAGCCCAAAGTGTATACATTACCCCACAGTGCCATGAGACCAGGCTACAAAAGAACAGAATAGAATTGCAACAGCAAAAGCTGCAACTGGCTCATCATTTTGGCTGCTTGAAGCCTGACTCCTGTTCCTGGTCTTCCTAACAAGATGACTCATGGTACTGCTACGGAATTATCTCATCCTAGGTTCAGACCTGATTTCTACCACCTAGAGTGTGATAGACATTTCTCAGTGTCCAGAGCCAAGATAAGGAACAGATTCCTCCCCTTCTCTCCTTTTCCCTCTGTTCACCCTTCATCCCAGGCAATTTTCCCTGGTCAACATGTCCCAATACTCTTTTTCTGGTTTAGACTTTCCAAATTCTTTCCACATGATTGACAGTGGCTAGGTCCATTCTTGGGTGACCAACTGTCCCAGTTTGCCCAGAGCTGTCACAGTTTTAGCACTGAAAGTCCTGTGTCCTGGGAAACCTTTTAATCTTCAGCAACCTGGGACAGTTGGTCACCCTACCTCAGGGGAAATGAAATCTTACCTTCCAGGGGGCAGCTCCCCCAGAAGAATCCTATCAGAATACGATAATCAACAATCAAAGTAATAATGAGTTATTGAGTCTTAACACCAATATGTAGGCATCAGTGGTACATCCCAGGATGATCTTTACTTCTGCCCACCTGGTTTCTTTTTTCCAGGTCTTCGTCCAATGCGAGGAGTTTCCTGTAGACTTGAGGGTTTCTCCTCCCGATCTACTGATCTACTCTTCCGTCCAAATGGATTTCTCCATAAGAACAAGCAGTAGTTTGCTGTCACACTGAAGCTTAAATCCACACTCGAAAAGAAACGGCTCTCTAAAGAAATTTACCTGTAGAGCTGCAGCTCTGCCTGCAGAATAAGCCATCTTTTCCATGGTTTCACAGGCTAGCCTAAGCTGCTCGTATATCTCCATTTTCAGATGATGATTTTAGATTCATATTTGCATAACCTTCAGGTGTTTTCCCCCCAAAAAGCCTCCAGCTTTTGAAAAACTGAAAACTTCTTGTAGCCTTGAAATTAGCTTCTTTGTTTTTTCTCACTGAAATCAAGGTTTAAAATAATGTTGTTATTTGGGTCAAATTTGAATGAGGGCTGTAACTCTAGAAAGTTATGCCCCACACGCCTCCCCAAGAAGGAATCTTCTCTAAAGCATGTATTCTAGGAGTAGAAACTCCGCCCTGGGATGACAGCAAAGGAAAGTCTATTTGCACGCTCCTCATCTGGCTCCAGGAATGTGACAGAGACTGCTTATTTAGTTGTCCCCTTTTCCATTTGTCCCTGACTTTTGTGTGTACACGCCTGCCCAGGATAAAGGCTAATTCCCAGTTAGGTGTGGCTGTGTGACTAAATTCTGGTCAGTGGCATATAAGTGGAAATGTCCTGTGCTATTTTCAAGATGTGTCCTTATGGCTAGGAGACATGCCTTTCCTCTTTCAGCTTCCTGCTGGTTGGAATGTAGACGTGATGGCTAGAGCTGGAACAGCTGTCTCGGACCTGAGATGAAAGCCTCTTGCTGAAGATGTCAAAGTAACAAGACAGAAGCCTGGTCCCTGACACTGAACGGCCACACCTCACCCTACCAAGTGTGGGCAATAACACAGTTTATCCTACCTCCTCCTAAG